ATGTCTATCTTTTGTTGTTTAGTATTATGCGTGTAGTCTGCAAAACCTAGACAGCTTGCGTGCATATTCAACGGCGCCCTCTAAAAAGTATGCTTGTACGATGTGCGCAAAGCACGGTGTAAAAAAACTGGACTCCATACCGGCCCTCTCTCAAAACTCGCCCCCAAACCGACCCTGTGTGAAAACAGGCCTCCAAGCTGTCCGTCACGGGTCCCCCCGTCCGTGCCAGCCGGTGGCCTCAATCCGAGATCGGTAAGGATTCTGTCCCGACCCGCTCTGCTCCCGAGCGGGACAGTTGGAAACCAAACGTGGACGCAAGCCCGGCTTTCGCGACCTAACTGCCTAGGAAATTCTCCTCGCATTGCACCACGTGGAAGCGCAGTCAAAATTGTGGAGTTTCCCTCCGTATACGTGGACAAATATCAGGGCTTTGTGGTCGGACCGTCCCGACCGGAGCTGCCCGTGCAGCAGTCCCGGCCTATAAAATTCCAACTTTTCGACCGTGAATTCTCATTTCCAGCATCCACCGCCCCAAGGCCCGAAGTTCCAAACGTATAGCCTCATTGGCAATGGCCTGTTTGGACGGTAAGAACTGGCTATAAAAGCCGGTATCGCTGTACATTTGTCTCATTTCCAAACTCAAGCAGTCAACAGTTCTGAATTCAACTATCTAGCAAGATTCTGAGCTTTCAGCTTCGAAACTTAGGAAAACCGTTCTCATTATTCTAGGACAATCTTGGCACTAAGATGATGCTGTACATGGGCCCCCTTGTAGATCTATGGCCGGTGAAACGATACGCATACGCTCACAGCAACTTCATCTATGTCGACGGCCTGCCCCGGAGCAAGTACTTTCGTCCGGACCAGGCTGGCTGGAAAGTCTCCAAAAGCAAGGAGACGATGGTTGCACACATACGAGCAAACCTGAAGTCCGACAATGCCTTGGCGTCGGATGAAGCGCTTCAAATGATGTACACGTCTTTCGACTCCGAGGAGGGGCCACATTGAAGTACTTTTTCAATAGAAAGGACGTTGACATCCCAAACGACCCAGCTCTGAAGGACGTTCTACCTCAAGTGACTGCTGTCTATATTCAAGGATACGTTCCCTTAGTGTGGCCACAGTTGCCCTCCTTGAAGATGTGCTATTCAAAAGAGATTCTGAGCACAAAGTTTGACATGCCAGACACCGTATCCGTTGTAATTGGTCCAGAAGTAGATAATGACCTCGGATTTGGCCACCAAATACGCTGCGACGAATGCAATGAAGAGATTGAACTGTAGAACTTCATTTGATAGCAGCTTTAGGCTCAATCTTTCAAGTTGAATCATGAATTAGTATGACATTGTCCGCATCCGATCCGCGGCAAATGAATCCTCTTTATTTAGACTGACGTGGTTCTAAAAAGTGCGTGCCGAGGAATCTGGTCGGTGCCTCAATTCACATCGACCAACAACTCGAGGGCAAGCCACTCGAGGGCAGGGATATGGCATATCATACATAGGGTGACATTGAACATGAGTTGATGGTCCGACCCAGCTTTCATAAGCGGTCGATGCACACCTGTTGGAAGCCCGGTGCAATTTTTGAAGCCCGATGCAGGTATAAGTCAGACTGACTGAGGGAGCCAATCTATATACATGGGATCATGTGGCGGGTACCCCTGTACGATGTGCTCAGCATAAGGTGTAACAAAAACTAGCCCCTCTGAAGAGTGTGCTTGCACGATGTGCTCAATATACGGTGTGGAAAACTGGCCCCAAAACAGGTTCTCTAGAAAGTATCATTGCTTGTACGATATGCTCAACATACGGTGTAACAAAAAATAGCCCCTCTGGAGACTGTGCTTGCACAATGTGCTCAATATACGATGTGGAAAACTGGCCCCCAAACCGGCCCTCTCTCAAAATTGGTCCCTTAACTGGCCTTGTGTGAAAACTGGCCCCCGACCCAGTGGCTCCCTCTTCAAACTGGCCCAAAAACTCCGTCTGGAAAGTATGCTTGTACTGTGTGCTCAACATACGGTGTAACCATAATTGGCCCCCAAACCGTGCACCCTTTGGAAAGTATGCTTGTACGATGTGCTCAACATACGGTGTAATAAAAACTAGCCCCTCTGGAGTGTGTGCTTGTACGATGTGCTCAACACATACCGTGTAACAAAAACTGCCCCCCAAACTGGCCCTCTCTCAAAAATGGCCCCCGAAGTTAACCCCAGCTTCACACGCGGTTGATGTAGATGGTCCGATCTAAATCGACCGTCACATATTTTTGTCTGACCACGATTTTATTTTCTGCTACAGGCTTAGCTACTGAATTCTGACAACGCTCTTTGAAGTAACTAGTTATCAAGTTGAGAAAAGTGCACTTTTCTCAACATTTTGCCTCTGCCGATAGCATTGATCAATACGTGAACCTCGTACTACTTTTCGTTGTCATTATTTCTTGACAGAGAGGTTTGAGATAAATGAAGTTGCTATGTCTGGTTGTGTGAAATTATTGTCAAATCCCTACTATACGAGCAATAACTATGGATGCTCTGCGCAGTTTGTTCACAGATAACATTCGCTCTCGAGCATCCGTGGAGCAATATGTAAGGGGCATTGCCCTCGTCTACGATTTGTGCCACAATCGGCCACTTCCTAACACGCTTGACCTGACGTTTCTTGAATCAGATGCACAAGCCTTTACTCAACTCGTGCATGAAAGATACGACAATCCTGGCTCCCGAAGGACACGTCTGGCCCCCTTCCTTGCCGCTTGTAAAAAGCTTGGCTACTCAGAGGCTTACCAAACGTACTTTCGGCCTTTTAAACATGACAATAAGCCATTGAAGGAACTTCGTAAGAAGCAAGCAGTCGAAAATGCGGATGATTCGACGAAGGTTCATGAGATGTCTCGAGAAGATGTTGAATATTTTGGTGCTAAGCTGGCCCGAAGGGTTCGATCGCTGGATGCAGACGATCTTGATAGAAAGGATGTCAAGACTATCATGATTCATGTGCTGGTCGAGTGGCACCTTCTAATAAAGCCAAATGTGAGGCGTGGTCTTAAGATATATCATTTACCCGTTCTCTTCAAGAATGAGAGGGAGGTGCATGATGATAGCATTGACGCACTTATCCAGGTCAGCAGATCGAAACAGCTATTTCAACTAAGAAAACAAGGGGAGGTATATGAGCTCCCCAAGATGTTCTGTAAGTATCTTGCTCGAACGTTGGAGCTTATCCCTCGTGGGTATCTCATAGCATCGGTGTCGGACCCGCTGACACCGATGAGTGGAAGCAACTTTAGCAACTTTTGTGGGAAGTTAAGCTTCGATAACAAGTTACTCAACCTCGAACGCATATAAATGGAACTCGCTTTTTCGTCGAAAAATAAATTCTAATGATAAGTCAAGCTCAAGTAAGCCGGCTGCTAGCTACCAGAAAAATGTCCACAAGAGTCATCCACACTTTGCCACACAATCGACGCAAAGCATTGCTCCTAGAGTTACCAAACCTAAGGAGCATACTCAAGATTAAAGAGGGCCGAGATGGTTCAAGTCCAACATCACGAACTGAATCGACGGTGAATGTGTACGTTCGTCAAATCCAAAAGGTACATACAGCCGTCAATTACAACAAGCAATTGACTGATAACGAGTCAATCGATTGGATTGGCAATCACGAAAGGATTATTGAAGCGATCGAAAGCTTGATAGGTACAAAGGGGAAACCCATCAAACCGCTCACAAAAAGCAGTTATGCCGCACCCTTCTCGATTCTGGCCCAAAAGATGGGCTTTGATGACGCACACAAAGCGTACAGCAATTACATCGAAGCAAAGAAACCCACTGAGGATGAACTCGACCAAACGATGCAACAGAAGACCCCTAAAGAGATCGAAATGTGGGTTCCTTGGAACCATATTGTCAATGTAAGAGATGACCTTGATCAAATCATCACCCGAACAATCGTTGACAAATTCAAACATAGCCGAGCAATGACACGCACCGATAAGGAAATCGTAAATGATCATTTGATATTGAGCCTGTATACGATGCCTCTCGGGCCTTTAAGAAATGAGTTCGGCAGTTGTCGAATCCTTATGAAGGAGGAAACCGTTGATGAAGCGG